CCCCAAAACCCCAAAACCCCAAAACCCCATTGATAAACATGCATTTTAAATATTGAATTAATAAATGTTAAAATGCTGATTCCCAACATTTTAATTATTATTATTATTGCTATTAATGTTCAATTCTTATTAATGTTAAAATTCTTATTAACCTATGAGATAAGATTTTAATCTATTAATTTACTGAGTATAAATTAAAGTTTTAAGAATCAGTCTATAATTATTAATCTTTTTGAAAGAATTCTTACTCAAAGTCTAAAAAGTAGTAATGAGTAGAGCAAGACTCAATAGTTAATTAACAAGTGCTTCGATATTCTATGAATAGATGGTGTAAGTGATACTATTAAATATATTAACCTTCAAATAGTTAAGAATATCAAAGATAGGAACTGGTTTAATTAGCAAATGTTGAAAAACATGATTCACAAAGTCAAAAACCATAAGGCATTTCATCTGCTGTCAATAGTACTGAAAAGATTAGAACATGGGTAGTCTACTATCTATTAACTTTTTTAGAATGAGCATATGATTGAAACAGATTAGTTAGCCTAGTAATTAGAAACTTGCATAAAAGCTAGAGAAACTGATAAAAGCTACTTTGGCTTGACTTAGTCATAAGCAAATGATAAACTTAGAACATATGGTCCTAATTAACTTACTGAGAAGTAAGGCATGCCTTGGTTTGTTCAATACTTACTTCTAATGACTGGACTCTTCAATTATATGCTCTGGGTGGGCTCAATTTTATGTTTTATTGCCTTTGGAGTCCAAGAGGACAAAAGAGATAAATCAAATATGTATCTTGGAGTTGTTTTAATTGGAGTAGTCTTGATCACTGCTACAATGTCCTATTTCTAATAATCAAAAGCTGCTGCATTGATGGCACAGTTCAAGGATTTTATTCCAGCTAGATCTACAGTCTTTAGAAGTGGGTAAAAATTAGAGGTTAATGCTTCTGAGTTGGTGCCTGGTGATATCGTTGAGATTTAAATTGGTGCAAATATTCCTGCTGATATAGTTCTCATCTAAGCTAATGAAATGAAAGTTAATAATGCCTCTCTTACTGGGGAGTCGGAAGATCTTCTAAGAGTGCCTGATGAGAGATCTAAAAACATCTTTGAAAGTCCTAATGTTGCATTCTTTGGTACTGCATGCACAAATGGAAGTGGAATAGGCATAGTTTTTAAAACTGGTGATTCAACTGTTATTGGATAAATTGCAAACCTCGCACAAACTGCAGATGCTGGTGAGACACCAATCTCAATTGAAATAGATAGATTCATTAAGATCATTGCAACTATTTCCATCTCAATGAGTCTAATCTTTTTCGCAATTAACTTTGCTTTTGGTTATCAAATCATCACCAACATCATTTTTATGATTGGTATCATCGTTGCTAATGTACCTGAAGGACTTTATATCACCCTCACAGTATGCATGGCTTTAGCAGCTAAAAGAATGGCAGCAAGATCAGTTTTAGTTAAGAATCTCTAATCTGTCGAGACGTTAGGATCTACTTCATGTATTTGCTCGGATAAAACAGGAACTTTGACTCAAAATAGAATGACAGTTTCCCATCTTTACTATAATTCCTAAATTCACGATGCTTCTATAAATTATGAAAAGCTCAAAAAGAATCCAGAGCTGAAAATAGACTATGATATAAAAGATCAAGCCTTCAAGAGTTTGCTAGACTGCATGATTCTTGGATCTAAAGCTGCATTTGCTTTAAACCCAACTAATGAGGAAATCAAAGCATATATTGCCAAAAAGAAAGGATAAAAGATTAGAGATTATGCTAGATATAACATAACTGAGGAAGAAAAGGAGTAAGGTAGGCAAGAATTATTGTAAGCTGAGTTTAGCTTACCAGTTGAGAAGAGAAACGTTACTGGAGATGCCTCAGAAACTGGTATTATAAAATTTGCTCAAGGTATAATTGATGTCGAAGCAAAGAGACAAAATTGTCCAGTTTTCTCTTATGAACTAGATGGAAATATAGTTGATACATTGATCCCATTTAACTCTGAAATCAAGTTTAACATGTTCATTAGGGATATGAATACTGAGAAGACTAGTCCAGAGTCAAAAGAAGATAACCTCTGCTTATTCCTAAAAGGAGCACCTGAAAGAATTCTTAACAGATGCAACAAGATCCTTATAAATGGTGAGGAAAAGCCTTTTGATTAGTATGCTGACCATGTTAAGTTTGCAAATGATTCTTTTGGTAAAATGGGTGAGAGAGTGCTCGCTTTTGCAAAACTTGAATTAGATCCAACAATTTATACAAAAGATCCAAAGTACCAATTTGATGTAAAGAATTGGAAAAAATGGTAGCAAGTTAAGGAAAGAGATTCATCAATTCCAGGCTGGTTCCCAATGTTTAACCTGACTCTTGTAGGCATTGTCTCATTAAATGATCCCCCAAGACCAAGAGTCGATATGTCAGTCTAAAAATGCAGATAAGCAGGTATTAAGGTTATTATGGTAACTGGAGATCAGCCACCAACAGCTGCAGCAATTGCACATAAAGTTAACATTATCACTGATCCAACCTTAGAATATAACTATCTTAGACAAGAAAAGGGACTCTCACATGACTAAGCAATGGAGCAATCAAAAGCTATTGTCATTCATGGAGATTTATTAGCTGAGAAACATGCTGAAGAAGAAAGTTTAGATGATCTTGATCCAGATAAAGGTAGATTCTTGACAGAATGGATTAGCAAGCCAGAAGTTGTATTTGCCAGAACAACACCTTCATAAAAACTATTGATAGTAGATGCCTGTTAAAGAGCAGGTCACATTGTTGCTGTTACTGGTGATGGCGTAAATGACTCACCTGCAATTAAGAAAGCTGATATTGGAGTTGCAATGGGAAGTGGTAGTGATGTTGCTAAGAATGCAGCAGATATCATCTTGCTAAATGATGATTTTAGTTCTATAGTAATGGGAGTTGAGCAAGGCAGATTGATGTTTGACAATCTTAAAAAATCTATCTCTTATGCTCTTTCCGCTAACATTCCTGAGATATTCCCAGTTCTTTGCAATATTGTCATTTAAGTTCCAGTACCACTATCTTCAATTCTTATGATTGTTATTTGTCTAGGTACTGACATGTATCCTGCTATAGCCCTAGCTTATGAGAATGCAGAGTTAGACATAATGGAAAGACTCCCAAGAGATTCAAAGAGAGATAGACTAGTACCTATGAAATTGATAAGTTTTTCTTATGTTCAGACAGGAACCTTACAAGGATTTTCTGGAATGTATACCTACTTTTATATTCTGAATGATTTTGGATACAAATTCAATACTCTTATAAATCTTAACTTAGCCAAGGGATATGAGCCTTAACCAACTGATATATACGATCCAAATCTCCCTAACTTTGGGAATACTAACTATGGAATTGAAGACTAATTCAGAAGTATTTCTTGGGGATAAAATGATGATGCTTAAATCGATGTTAGACTATTTTTTGTCTTCCACAACAAAGATAGCTGGAGTAGATGTAAATGGAATCCAAATGATGAAAGCATACCTAGATTTTGGAGATACTCAAATATAACTGAGAAGCAACTATGTTACACACCAGAAGCTGTGATCTATGTTTCATCAGCCTTTTTCGTAGCAGTAGTAATTACCTAAATAGCAAATAATATTATAAGTAAAACAAGAACATTATCATTATCACAATAACAGCTTGTTAACTCAGTCCAATGGCAAGGCATTATGTTTGAATTAGGACTTGCGTGTCTTATTTGCTATGCCAAGCCGTTTGAAATTGGACTTGGAGGCAGATAACTTGCTTCACCTCATTTTGGAATTCCAG